ACCCAGGGATCCCCTCTTTCTCTTTTTTTAATGATTTTATTTATTTATTCATGAGAGATACACAGAGAAAGGCAGAGACATAGGCAGAGGGAGAAGCAGGCTCCCTGTAGGGAGCCCAATGTAGGACCTGATCCCAGAACCCCAGGATCATGCCCTGAGCCAAAGACAGATGCTCAACCACTGAACCACCCAGGCATCCCTAAGCCCTTCTCTCTATGCTCACTCTTTCTGAGGTGGTCATGCCATCGATGCCCGGCCCCTCCTCCTGTGTGAAGAACTGTGATGCCACGCTCCGCCGAGTGACACTATCTCCACTGCTGCCTGCCATGGCTGTTGTCCGGTACTTCCTGGAGAAAAAGAGGATAGATCAAGCTCTGGGACCCTGTGGATAGGGTGGACCTTCACTCTGCCATCCACAAAGGTCGCAACTCTCCTTTCCATTCTGTCCTGTCCTGTGGGATCTTCTGAAGCCCCTCTCCCATCCCAGAGTCTGTCTTAGACTGTATATGTAGGGGTTATAATTTGGGAGAGACTGATGTCTCCCAGGTCAGAGGCAGTACCTCGTGGAGTACCAGGCTTCACCTCTAGTACTTTACACGTACCAGGCTGACTACAGACAACTGCTGAATGACTGAACAAATGAACACACAGCAGCCACCTCGCTGGTTTCTGTGCCTCATATTGCCATCTGGACTGTACTCTGGACCAGTCAGGACATCAAGCTTTCTAAAACATAGCTCTGAGGAATACTAGGTACAGAGTTCCACACGCTAAGTATTCAACACAACAGAAAAGGCTAGTTAAAATAAATCACATTTCAGCCATTTTCTGGAATACTATGGAGTTGTTTTTTTAAAAAGGGGATGGGGGAAGGAGAGACTTTAGGGCATCTGTCCCCAAAGTCACATTTGGCAAAACTATTTAATAAGGATCCATTACATCATTATTCCTAACAGCAAAAGACTATTAACAACTCAAGCATTCTCAAACAGGCAGACTGGCTGAAAAACCATGTTAAATCCACATAATAAAAGACTATGCAACTGTAAAAAGAAATGAGGGATGAAAAAAGAAGGAAAATCTCTATACATTGCTAGAACAATGGATTCCAGCATCTATTAAGTAAAAACATGCAAAATGAAGACAATGTTTGCCACATGCTCCCTTCTTAATAAAGGGATATATACATACACACGTGTTTTTTAAAGACCCTGAAAAGACAAAGCAAAAAGCAGAAGAGGGGGAAAAATAAAAAAAAATCTGGCGAGTGTCAATGTATTATCATAAAAAGATGTCTGTGACAGCCTATAGCATCACAGAATACAGCAACTCAATCCATTTTTGTCAAGTTTGTGTATGTATACACAGAATGAACTGGGTCCGTTTCCTTTTTTGTGAAACAGGGATGACAACAGTGTTTACCTCCCAGGACTATTCTGAAGAATAGATGAGTTAGTATACCAAAATAAACACAAGATCAATACAGCTACTATTTTTACGTACATACTCCTGAAAAATATCTGAAGGGTGTTGCTTAAACTGTTAAAGACAATTTGAGGAGGGTGAAAAAGATGTACATTTTAAAAGGAATGCAATATATTGGGTACACCTGGGTGGCTCAGTGGTTAAGCGTCTGCCTTCGGCTCAGGACATGATCCTGGAGTCCCGGGCTCAAGTCCCACATCAGGCTCCCTGCATGGAGCCTGCTTCTCCCTCTGCCTGTTTCTCTGCCTCTCTCTCTGTGTCTCTCATGAATACATGAATAAAATCTTAAAAAAAAAAGGAATGCAATATATTGTACACAGTATTCAACAAATGTCTGCTGAATGAGTATCCAATGGTGTTCTTCCTAGTCTCCTTGTCACCTGTCACAGCCACACCTTGCTTAGAGTCGAAGACATCATCCTCACCAAGGCCTAGGACTTTGTATGAGGGCTCCCTCACTTTCTTCTAGGGTCTCTGCTCCACGTCTGCCCTAACTGGGCAGTCTCCCTCTCCATCTATTCCGTCTCCCTCTCCATCTATTACTCTGTTTTTCTACACAGCATTTATTATCATCAACATGTAAGCTCCATGAAGGCCAGGATTTGTGTTTGTTCACTTTCAAGATCTCCATCATGTGAACAGTGCTTAGCACCTAGTAAGTACTCAATAAATATCTGAGTGAATGCCAAAGGGTCTCCCCAATTACTGGACTCAGGATCCCCCCCTCCTCTTTGGCTCTAGAATGCTTGAAAAATAATAGCTAATATTTAAGAATATGTGCTGGGCACAATTCTAATACACATGCTGACTTTTTTTTTTTTAAGATTTTATTTATTTATTTATTTATTTGAAAGAGACAAAGGTAGGGAGAGGAAAGCACGAGCAGAGAGGAGAGGATAAAGTAGGCTCCCCACTGAACAGGGAGCCTGATGCAGGGCTCGATCCCAGGACCCTGGAATTATGATCTGAGCCCATGACAGACGCTTAACCAACTGAGCCACCCAGGCACCCCACATGTTAACTTATTTAAACTTCACAACACCCACTCTTTGAGGCAGGTATAGTTTTTAAGCTCCATTTTACAAATGAGGAAATTTGAAGGCAAGGGAGGTAAAGTCACTTGACTGAAGGCTCAGAGCCTCTAAGATACAGATGCAGCAGTAGGACTGCAGAATCTATCCTCCTCATCACTGTGCAGGACCGCCTCTCTGAAAGGAATTCCTTCTCTATCCCAGATCTATTGTGCAAGCCAAGAGGCATGGTCACCTGACAACCAGCATTCTGCTGTCCCTTATCAGAACATAATGAACCTTTTCATGATCAACCTTTCCAACCTTTCCACTCTCTCCATGACAATCATACATTGAGATCTACCTTTTTTATTTTTTTAACCCTGTGTTCTTCCCCTTCTTCTTTTTGGTTTATCCTTAAAAAAAAAAAAAAAAGTATATCCACATTTCCCTTTTCTTTTGTAAAAAAGGGAGCATATAATAGGCACTACCTTCTATTTCATTTGTCTTCACTGAATATATTCTGGAACCCACTCTATCACAGTGTATAGGTATTTTCGTGATTCCCTCCCTGAAACCCCGCATTTCCTTTCACAGTTGCATATTTTATTATGTAGATGTTATCAGCTTTTTTTCTGCCAGTCTCTCGATTAAAGAACATTTGGGGTGTCTATAGCATTTTTGCTATTACCAACTACCATTGTTTCCCCTTGTCTCCCAGTGTACTCCTTACGGAGTACCACTACCCCAATCCCACCTGGGAGTATGACGACTCCCCCCATACACGAAGTAACCCCAGAAATATCTTTCATTCATTCTACGAAATTCAACCGGGTGTCTTCAGTGTGACCAGCGCTGTGCTGGGAACACAGCGATAACCAACACATACTCTAAGCCCCTGTCCCCGTGGAGCTCACGATCAAGGACCTAATCAAAAAACCCCACAGATAAAGGTCCAGTGATAAATCAGACCACATGTGACATGAAGGAAAGGCACAGGGACCTATGAGAGCGTTTAAGAGGCGAATTTCGGGACGGAGGGCGGGAAAGGAGGGCTTTGCAGGGGAAGTGACGTTGATGCCGAGACCCGAAAGATGAATGGGAGTTAGCCAGGCAGAATGGGTAAAAGGATGTTGCGGGCAGAGGGGACAGCATGTGCAAAAATCCTGAGGCGGGAAGGCGCGTGGCGAGTTTGAGGAACCGGAAGGCTAGTGCATGTGAGGAGTGAGGAACGAGCAGAAAGGCCGAGCCGGGGCCGGCGGGGCGGACGCACCTTGGGGGCCACGTTGGAACTTTGCCCCGAGGGCACTGGGGAGCCACGGGAGGGTCCTGAGCTGGGGAAGAAACTGGGGTCCCGAACGTCACTGCTCCCCTTTCCTCGCAGCGCCCCAACCCGCCGGTCAGCGCCCCTGCCGCGTCAGGGTCCCTCCTCCCTTCGTTCCCGGGCCCCCACGCCGCCCCCCGCTCACCGCGGCGCCGACCTCCGTCCCCCTCGCGCCCCCTCAGCAGCGCCTCTTCACAGACGCCGCCGTCGCCATCTTCCGTTCGCCGCCGGGACACTGCGCACGCGCCGCGCACACAGGGCCGCTGGGAAATGGAGTCCACACTTGAGGCCCGCCCCCTCCCCTACCTCCTGCGGCGCGAGAGGCCTTCCGCCTCCCCCCCGCCCCTACTCGACGAGGCCCGGGAGCTTTTCATTTCCGGCCTTTGAACGCTAAGCCTTAAGGGAAATGTAGTCCCTTAGCAGAGGCACTGGACGGAAAGGGAGGTAGAGGCTTCTGGGAAATGGAGTACACGGTGGTTCTGAGTCCCTGGACGGCTGGTGTTAGAGCGAGCGGAGAGTCCGGGCAGCGAAGCTCCGAGGTCCTGGAGGTGGCCTGTTGCCCCAGTGGAGTCTAAGCAGAGTCCCCGATCCCCTCCACCTTAGGTCCTGGCCATTTACGCGGTCTGGAGCATTTCCAGCTGTCGGAAGCTTCAGTCTTCCAGTCCGTCCAATCGGAATGTGGGGCCGAGGGTCTCTTATGGTCCTCACCGTAGCATACGGACCTCTGGAGTCCCCTGAGCTCTGAGGCCCCTTTCCTCCGTCTCGGTCTTGCCGGGCTCTGGCTGTTCGCCCACTCCTGTCCAAATAATGAAACCCGCTGGGGCAGAAGAGCCCCAGGGTTCTGCCCTTGGGGAGAACTTTAGCATGAGCAGTGTCGCCCACCCGTGGCTCGCTTGCTCTTCCACCACCTACAGCTCTCACGGCCTCGGGCTGCGGCTCCCGGCGCCTGAGGTCTGTCTCCGCGCAATCCCGCAGGGGGCGCCCCAGGCCGAGCGCGCCGCCCTCGGGGAGGCGGGAGGGGAGCCCGGGGCGGGCAAGGGCGGGGGGGGCGGGGGGGGGTGTCCCAGCTATAAAGCGTGGCCGCCTCCCGCGGCGCCCAGGACGGCTGGGACCCCGGGCGGTCGGACGGGCGGGCAGCGGTCGGAACTCGAGCCGTGCCGGCTGAGAGATCTGAAGCGCTCGGTTCCCCCCGGGCCGGAGCGAGGGCGGGAGGGGGCGCAGGCCCGGGGGATGCTGGGCTCGGTGAAGATGGAGGCCCATGACCTGGCCGAGTGGAGCTACTACCCGGAGGCGGGCGAGGTGTGTCCTCGGGGATGGCGGAGCGGGAAGTGGGGGGCAGGAATCAGGGTGCGAGCGTGAATGGGGGTAAGGATGGGGTGTGGGATCGAATGGGGGTTCCGACTACTGTTGAGGAGCAGAGGAACCTGAGACACGGAGACCAGGTGTAGGAGTCAGGGATGGGGGAAGGAGGCATGGGAGTGCGGTTTCGGCTGGTTGGAGCGAGGGCTCAAACGGAAAAATTTAGGCAAGGGTCAGGTCATAGTTTAAACGTGAAGCTTGGGTGTTGGGGACCCCAAACCCAAGAGATTAAAGTGAAAAAATCAAAGATAGGAATCGGAGTTCCAGGATAGGGGATAGAGCTGGGGGATTGGGAAATGGGGTCCAAACGCAGAGGGGTGGAGGAGGGAAGACCTGGAACAAGGAGATGAGAAAAGAAAGTCACCCTTAAGGAAAGTCCGAGGTGGGAGCCCAGGGGTTGAATATAGTTAAAGATGAGGGGTCCTGGGGGTAGAAATCAGAATTGGGGTTGGGGCATAAGCATCTTGAGGGTGGCGATCTAAGAGTCAGAAAAAGGTATTGGTGCTCAGAGTTAAGAGATAGAGGCGCTCAGAGATGAAACATGGCTTGGGAACCTGTAATAACAGGTGGGTAAGAGTTGGGGCTCAGATAGATGGGGGCCCAGATGGGATCAGAGTTGGGAGCCTGAGAGCAGATGTGTGCAACAGCATTGTCAGGAGAGAGGTCAATTTCCACCCCCCATCCTTATTCATGACCCTTAGCCCTCCCGACTGAACTTCAGTGGTTTAATTGTTTTTAGAGACCCTCAGCAGGGACACTCCCTGCTGGAGACTGGAGGGTTTCAGATTTCACACCACCACCACCCCCATTCCAGTAATCTCCAGTAATTGCTAATGTCCTCTCTTGTCCCATCTATGACAAGGCCACCCTTGGAGTAGGGGGCGGAGTGGATCTTTATCCCCTCACCTCAGCAGACGGAAAGTCCTTCCCCAAGTCTAACTCCCATTCCTATTGCTGCAAGGGCTCCCCCTTAGCTGGTTCTTTCAAGCGTCAAGATTATGAAATGGCAGGGGAGGGTAGGAGGGTTAGGGGGGGTCCAGACATTTAGGTTCCTAACTTAGAAAGAGACTTTGGGCTTCTTTCAAGTCAGAAGGAGACTGGAATGTCTGAGATCTCCACGGATTCTGAGATCTGGGTGTTTACAGGGGCCCCCACTGTGCCTGAGTTCTGGGGCTGGGGTTTGAAGCTCAGGGTGGGACTCCTGGTTCCCCAGGCCTGCGGGGCTTGGCAAAGTGCCCGGGAGGGGCCAGTCCTGGGGCTGTGGAGGTGTGAGGTGCACGTGGGGTGGGGCAGGCCGACCAGGGAAGGGATTGAGAGTGCTGAGAGCTGGAACTGCTGAAGGTGTCATTTGTATGGTGGGGAAGGCAGAGACCTGGTTGGAAGTGGAGGCTCCCAGGTAGTGGGGTTGGGGGGGAATCCTAGCTGAACCCCTAGAGAGTTAGAGCCTGGGGCCATGATTTTAAAAGACCAGCTACAGATCTGTGTTGCTGGGGTTGGGGTACATCTTTAAGAAGTAAGTTGTGTGGGTCTAGGATGGAGGAGTCACTATCTGGGCACAGGCTGAAATTTAATAATTTGCACGGAAATTGTGTCAGAAATTGAGGGACCATCTAGAGTTGATTAGCATTTGGGGGCATATTTCAGAAAAAGTTAACATATGAGGTGTCGGAAATGGAAATAGGGTATCCCCAGCCTTCCCACCAGCTGAGCCACCTCCTCTCCCCGAATCTGAACAATAGGGAGAGAAACATTTGCACTTGCTCAGCAACTAAGAACTGAGAGGGTCCCCAAACTGCTTCTTGCTCACAGCACCCTCCTGCTGGGGTGATTGACACCCCCGGTCAGGCTCCCTGTCAGGAAGGAAATTGGAAAGTTAGCACCCTGGGGTGTCCCCACTGGGCTCCAGTTCTCACAGATCAGCTGGTCCAAGAGCTCCCCCCTTTTAGAAATGGGAACTCTGAAGCCTCTCAGAGTATTAGGGGCTGCTGCAGGATCAGGACTGGGACTGGGAGGAGGCTTCTGGCTTCACACTGCCTTCCCGAACTCCCTGTCACACCCTCCCCCAGAAACAATAAGGAAATGAAAGGAGAGAAAGTCCAGCCTCCTGGTATGGGGGTGCAGATCCCCTGAGGGCTTCCCCCCCAATCTCAGCCCCGCCCTGGCAGGGGAGATCCGGCTTACACCCGGACACTGGGGGTTCATCCCAGCCCTGGGGCGTGGGAAAGCCTAGGGTGGATTAGGGCTGCTGGAGTGCTTAAGGTCAGACCTCAAGGAGGACTTCCGGGTGGGTGGGGACCCAGAAAAGGACAGCCGTGGGGTCCCAATCACCCTTCTTCTGTGATACAAAAGAGCCTGATGGGGTTGGAGCATTGGAGTGTGGGTCACAGAGGGATTTAGGAACTCTCTGTGGATGCCCCTGAGTGCATTGCCTCTCCTCAGCTCTGAAAGACCCGCTTCCCTTATACTGGGGAGGAGGTGCAATCCGCCAAGGTGGTGGTGGGGATACCAGTGCACAGAGGAGGGGTAGCTGTGACTCCAGTTTTGGTGGGAGGCTTCTGGGGAGACGGTGATGCTGAGGCCAGGAGACAGAGATACAGAGAAGTGCCGGAAAGAAAGAGACATGGCAGGGGAGTGGGGCAGAGAGAGACAGGGAGAGATAGGGTGGGGGGGGAGAAAGATGGGGTTGGAGAGAGTCATGAGGAGGGAACGGCAGGGGTTTGGGGAGAGATAAGAGAGACAGGAGAAGGAGGGAAGGCAGAGGGGTGAGAAAGAGGTGGGGAGAGACAGGGCTGGGAAAAGCAGCTTGGAAGGAGACTGGGGAGTAGAGGGGAGGAGCGGAGAGGTACTGAGACAGGGAAAGAGATGGACAGATACACATGGAGCCAGCTGGGAGACTCGAGACCAGAGACAAAAGAACTCCCTGGAAATGTGTGTGTGTGTGTGTGTGTGTGTGTGTGTGTGTGTGTGTGTGTGAGAGAGAGAGAGAGAGAGAGAGAGAGATTCTCTGTCTGCGCTCAGACTAGAGTTGGTTGTCACCTGTCCCTGACTCTGCGTGACCCTGGCAATTCCCTTCTCTCTCAGGACCTTGGGAGCCGCAGACCCTTACAGTGACAGGGGACGAGACAGGACCCACTGACTCACAGCAAAGGTGGCTCCTACTGGAAATATAGCAGCACCTTCCCCCCTCCCCCCTGCACTGCTACAAGAGCCCCTCATGGGAAGGGAGCAGGACAGTTGGTGGACTAGGGGACAGAGGATGGTGGACAGTGGATGGAAGGGGTAAATACACACAGCGAGGGGTAAATACACACCACCCACCATGCTTTCTGTTTTCCGTGTTTATCTGGTTCATTTCTTGCTAGACTGTCAGGTCTGTGAAGGCAGGTCTTGAAGTCTGTCTTGGTCACTGCTTTTATAGCGCGATCCAGAGAGCCGGACTGCCTAAATTCAGAGTCCTGCCCCTTCCTTACTGTCTGACCCTGGACGACCTCTCTGGGCCTCAGCTTGGTCAGCTATACAATGGGTGTCATATAGCACCTCCCCTGTGGTTCGGTTGGTTGTAAAGGTTGAAAGGGAGCCCTTTCCTGTGAAGTGCTTGGAGCAGGGCCTGGCACAAAGTAGGTGGCCAATAGATATTTGTTCAATGGATGAAAGAAGAGAGGGTTACTTAGACCTAGCAATGCCTCTGTATTTCACTGAGCTAAGATGCATGTTTTTCATTTGAACGTTTCTGAAAATGGGATGGGTTTTACAGTCAACAGTGTCCAGGGATTGAGAATGTTTTTTTCCCCTTGCTTACTGGTACTTAAAATTAACACCGCAGCTTACAAATAGCGATGTCAGATCCCTGGGTGGCTCAGTGGTTTAGTGCCTGCCTTTGGCCCAGGGTGTGATCCTGGAGACCCAGGATCGAGTCCCACATCGGGCTCCCTGCATGGAGCCTGCTTCTCCCTCTGCCTGTGTCTCTGCCTCTCTCTCTCTCTCTCTCTCTCTCTCTCTCTGTCTCTCATGAATAAATAAATAAATAAAAATATTAAAAAAAAAAAAAAAACGGGATCCCTGGGTGGCGCAGCGGTTTGGCGCCTGCCTTTGGCCCAGGGCGCGATCCTGGAGACCCGGGATCGAATCCCACATCGGGCTCCCGGTGCATGGAGCCTGCTTCTCCCTCTGCCTGTGTCTCTGCCTCTCTCTCTCTCTCTGTGACTATCATAAATAATAAATAAAAATTAAAAAAAAAAACAAATAGTGATGTCTTAGATTCAGTGATACATAGTAACGAGACGATATATATTAGGTTGAAATGTAATTTTTTCAGACTGAAACATTTTTTAAAAAGTTTTTAGACTTTTATTTATTTAAGTAAGCTGTACACCCAGTATAGGGCTCGAACTCACGATCCTGGAGATCAAGAGTCTCATGCTCTTCTGACTGAGCCAGCCAGGTGTCCCCATATCCTGAAACATTTCTGATCTAAAACAACTGTAATTCTATAGTCCGAAAAGTGATAGAGAGTACCCGTGTAGATGAGATGGTTAGATAAATCAGGAGTTTTCAATTTTTTCAATTTTAGGATCTCTTTACATGCTTAAAAATTATTGAGGACCCCAAACAGTTTTTGTTCATGTAAGTTATGTCTATCCATCGTTACTGCGTTTAAAAAAAGTTACTGCATTAGAAATTAAAACTGAGAAATTTTTAAAATATGGATTGATTTTTTTTTTTTAAGATTTTATTCATTTGGGATGCCTAGGTGGCTCAGTGGTTGAGTGTCTGCCTTTGGCTCAGGGTGTGATCCCCGAGTTCCAGGATCGAGTCCCACATCGGGCTCCCTGCATGGAGCCTGCTTCTCCCTCTGCCTATGTCTCTGCCTCTTTCTGTGTGTCTCTCATGAATAAATAAATCTGTGTCTCTCATGAATAAATAAATAAAATCTTTAAAAAAAGATTTTATTCATTTATTTGACAGAGAAGACAAGCAGGGGGAGCAGACAGAGGGAGAAGCAGGCTCCTTGCTGAGCAGGAGGAGTGGGGCTCTATTCTGGGACCCCCAGGATCATGATCTGAGCCGAAGGCAGATTCTTAATTTTAAACTAACAATTTAAACTAATTTAAAACTAAGTAATTTTAAACTAACAATTTTTTGCATAAATATTTTGTTTTATTAATAACTATATTTCAGGGCACCTGGCTGTCTCAGCTAGTAGAGCATGCAAGTCTTGATCTCAGGGTTGTGAGTTCAAGCCCCATGTTGGGCATGGAGCCTATTTTTAAAAATTAAAATAAAATAAAATAACTACATTTCAAAACATTTAACAAGAAGAGTGGCACTGTTATATTTTTGGCAAATTTTTTCAGTGTCTGGTTCGATAGGAGACAGCTGGATTCTTGTGGCTGCTTCTACATTTGGTCTGCTGCAATGTCACATGTCCGGTGGCCTCACTTGTACACTCCTGAGAAAAAGAGAATGAAAAAGCTAATAATTTCTTAGCATTATATGCAAATAATTTTGACCTCCTGGACACCCTAAAAGGGTCTTGGAGATTCCCCAAGGCATCCTGGACCACACTTTGAGAACCACTTGAAGCATGAGCTCCAATATATGGGAATATAGGGGATGAAGGATGAAGTCAGGGATGGGGTACACGAGGATGGGGAAGAGAGAGAGACTTCCAGAGACAGCCATCTACAGACAGAGGTAAGGATGGGAGGGACTTGTAGAAGACAGGGATGCCTGGGAGGCTCAGTGGTTGACCATGTGCATTTGGCTCAGGTCATGATCTCAGAGTACTCGGATCAAATCCCTCATCAGGCTCCCCACAGGGAGCCTGCTTCTCCCTCTGCCTATGTCTCTGCCTTTCTCTCTGCGTCTTTCATGAATAAATAAAATCTTAAAAAAAAAAAAAAGAAGAGGCAAGGAAGGCAGACAGAAAGATGGACACATAGCAGGGGGGGCGGTAACCCTTTGCTGACCAGCAGAGTGGCAGCTCATTGACCTCTCCCCATCTCTCTTTCCTTGCAGGTCTACTCACCGGTGACCCCAGTGCCCAGCATGGCCCCCCTTAACTCCTACATGACCCTGAACCCTCTGAGCTCTCCCTACCCCCCCGGGGGGCTCCCTGCCTCTCCACTGCCCTCAGGACCCCTGGCTCCCCCAGCCCCTGCGGCACCCCTGGGGCCCACCTTCCCGGGCCTGGGTGCCAGCAGTGGTGGAGGCAGCAGCTCGGGGTATGGGGGCCCGGGAGCAGGGTTGGTGCCGGGCAAGGAGATGCCCAAAGGTTACCGGCGGCCACTGGCCCACGCCAAGCCGCCATATTCCTACATCTCGCTCATCACCATGGCCATCCAGCAGGCGCCGGGCAAGATGCTGACCCTGAGCGAGATCTACCAGTGGATCATGGACCTCTTCCCCTACTACCGGGAGAACCAGCAACGCTGGCAGAACTCCATCCGCCACTCTCTGTCTTTCAACGACTGCTTTGTCAAGGTGGCGCGCTCCCCAGACAAGCCGGGCAAGGGCTCCTACTGGGCCCTGCACCCCAGCTCAGGTAACATGTTTGAGAACGGCTGCTACCTGCGCCGCCAGAAGCGCTTCAAGCTGGAAGAGAAGGTGAAGAAAGGGGCTGGCGGGACCTCCACCTCCAAGAACAGTGCAGGGGCTGCCGCCTCGGCCACCAACCCTGCTGCCCAGGTCACCTCTCCCCCGCAGCCCCAGCCTCCACCACCTGAGCCGGAGGCCCCCGGCGGGGAAGATGTGGGGGCTCTGGACTGTGGCTCACCCCCTTCCTCCACACCCTATTTCACTGGCCTGGAGCTCCCGGGGGAGCTGAAGCTGGATGCACCCTACAACTTCAACCACCCTTTCTCCATCAACAATCTGATGTCAGAACAGACACCAGCACCTCCTAAACTGGACGTGGGGTTTGGGGGCTATGGGGCAGAGGGTGGGGAGCCTGGGGTGTACTACCAGGGTGTCTATTCCCGCTCTCTGCTTAACGCATCCTAGCAGGGGTGTGGGAGCATGGTGGGTGGGGTATGGCTGTAGCTCACACCATCAGGCGCTTGGGGCCTGGTTCATCCTCCTGGTGACACTTTGCTTGTCCCATCAGTTAACATCTTGGTTGGTCTATTACTGTGGTGACTGCTGTCTCTGTGAGCATCGTGTCAGTCCTTTGGGTACTGTGATAACTGTCGTTGACGTCTTGGTGTGCCCACTGGGCACTACAAAGACTGCCATGTTGATTGATGTGATTAATCTATCCATTGGGCACTCTGATGGCCGCCATCTGGGATGACATCTTAGTAGGCCCTTTGGACATGGAGATGGACATCCTCTTGACTGACCCTTTGGATGCGATGGCGATATCATTTCAATGACATCTTCTCTGGCCCGTTGGGCGCTGCAGTCACTTCCTTTTGGGTGGATTTCTTGGTGTACCAGACACCAAGTTGGCCACCATCCTGCATAACATCTCCTTTTGGCACATTGGGTGCTATGATGGCCACCATCTTGGTTGGCTGACATAACCAGTATACCGTTGTGCACTGTGACAGCTCCCACAGCCCCTGGGTTGGCCATTGTCATCCCCGTCTCTTTGGTGTGAGTTGAGTGAGGGATGGAGGTGAGAATACTCCTTGTTTTTTTCTGGAGCCCATTCCCCCCTCTGGTCCAGGAGAAACCAGAATGGACTGGCTAGGGTGTGGGGAATTTCTACTGAAGTCTGGTTCTTGCCTGGGAAGCGGGATACTGGCTGTGTTTGACCATTAAAGGCACTGTTTCTGCCTCTTGCTGAATGTCTCTTTTCCTTGGCGGGTGGGCCCTGTAGGGCTTGAACGCCTGAATTGCTGTGTCCCTGTCCCCTCTCCTTCCTGCCCCTAAGAGCTGGCTGCCTCTGGGGGAAGGGCTGGGGGAGGCATCGACCTGACCTTTGGCTCTTTGCTGTCCCTGACCCCAAGGACAGTTTGCTCACAGATAGCAGCCCCCGCAGCAGTGGGGCCAGGGCAGCAGGGGGAGGTGGCTTCGCAGTGACCAAGGCCATCTCCCCACCCCCACTCCCCAGACACACACCTCCAGCTCTGAGGCCCAAGGAGCACAGGGGCTGCTTAATTTTTGGTTAAACTGGGGAGGAGGAGAAGGCACAAACAAGGTGTTAATTAAAGGAGACAGTGTGTGTGTGTGTGTGTGTGTGTGTGTGTGTGTGTGTGTGTGTTGGGGCTTATCTGTGGGGGGGGGGGAGTGGGTTCTCCGTTGGTCATAGGATATCACTGTGCCCACTGGGGTCTCTGGGGTCTGCCTATTGTTACCCCTGAGTGTTACCTATGCTTTGTATCCCTCCATCATGTGGGTTTTTATGTCTGTTCACACTCTGGGTGTTACCTGTGGGTATCCTGGGATCTCTTACTGTTTTTTGTTTTGTTTTGTTTTTTAAATATTTTATTTATTTACTCATGAAAGACACAGAGAGGCAGACACAGGCAGAGGGAGAAGCAGGCTCCCTGCGGGGAGCCCGGTACAAGACTCGATCCCCAGACCCCAGGATCACGACCTGAGCCAAAGGCAGATGCTCAACCACTGAGCCACCAGGCGTCGGTCTCTTACTGTTTTGTGCATGTGGTTCTCTTTATACACCTACCGGGTCCTTGTGGGTCTCACACTGTTAGGCTCACGTCTCCATATGTCAGTTTGCGTACCTGATGCCTCCAGGAATCTCTGTGTGGCTCAGTCGGTGTCACAGACCTGCCTGTCGCTGTGTGTTTTGTGTACCTCTGTGTCAGCATCTGCCTGTATGTTTAAAAGAGTCCGCCTGTGCCCACCTATTATGCCTGTCACTGTTGTGTGGAGGGTCCCCTGTCACTTCTGCAGGCAGGTGTGTGGAGAAGGAGCTCGGTCCTCCTTTGGCAGCTCTGGGCCTCTGGGGGTTGGTGGGTGTCTGGGTGTCCCTGTTCCTCCAGGTCTCTCCCTAGGCTCCCGAGTCTGGTTATCAGGTGCTCAGATGCTCTAATCGCGTGGCTCTGGGGGGAAGAGGGTGTGCACACCCTGCCTCTCACTTCACAGAGTGGAAGCTGAGGCTCAGAAGGGAAGGGACTGGGCCAGCGTCATTCAGCCAGGCTAGAGCAGGTGGGCAGGTTTGGTCTTATTTTTGTCTTTCCTTCTTTGGGGTTTGCCTTTCTCGGTCCTTGGTTCTCTAGTGGCTCATTCATTTGTTCCTCAGACATTCGTTCAGAGACCAAAGGCTGCCTGTTTACGAGTGTGTGCAGTGTCTCCCCCCAGTTTCTGTGTGTCCATATTTCTATCTCTTAGTGTCCTCTCTCTGTGTCACTCTGTCCTTAGCCCTCTCTTTGGGCTGGGCTGTTGTCTCTTGGCTTTTTTGAACACTTTTTTATTTTTATTTTTTTTTTTAATTTTTATTTATTTATGATAGTCACACACACAGAGAGAGAGGCAGAGACACAGGCAGAGGGAGAAGCAGGCTCCATGCACCGGGAGCCCGACGTGGGACCCGATCCCGGGTCTCCAGGATCGCGCCCCGGGCCAAAGGCAGGCGCCAAACCGCTGCGCCACCCAGGGATCCCCTTTTTTGAACACTTTTGCTCATCCTCTGTAGTCTACCTCTTAGACAGCCGGCCTTGTGCTTTCTCTCTCATTCACTCCATTGCTTGGACTCTGTCCCTCCCTCTCTCTGGGCCCTGGGTGGCTCCCTCCTTCTCTTGGGGACTGTGATTCCTTTCCTGGGTCTGTCCCCCCCACCCTCGCCACCCCCACTCCTTTGGATCTCCAGCCTCACTCCTCCTTCTCTCATCTCCCGTTCCCTGAGTTTCTGCCTCTACCTGCCACCTCGCAGGCCAGGCCCTCTATTTCTGTCGCTGTGCCCGCCCTGCCCGGCTGCGTGTCACCACCCCCCCCCCCCGCCCCCTGCCATGCTGGCTCCCCGTCAGCCGTCCCACCAGCCTCGGCTGTCCTGGGCAGGCCGGGGAATTCCTCCTGGTTCCTGGAAAAAACAACTGGGGCCGAGAGAAAGGCCCTCAGTCTCCCCGGGCGCCTGCCCCCCTCCCTCGGGCCTGGGGGTCTCTCCCGGAGTCGGCCGGCCCGAGGCAGGAAGCCCTGCGGTTTCTGGCTTCTCCCAGGCGGCCTCCGGATCTGGCCCCCGCCCCCCGGCCAACAGCCCAAATATTATTCCGCAGGAGGAGTCGGTGGTGGCGGGAGGAGGCCCAGGCTGAAAGAGGCTTTCAGGGCGGCCAGGCCTGGGGCTTCCTGTCCCCAGGCTTGGGCCTCAGGCCGCCCCAGTAGGGACCTCAGGTGGCCGGAGGGGCGGGTGTTGTTGTAGGGTCCTGGGGGGAGGGTGGGGCCATCCGTCAGGGTGTCTGGTGGCCACCGGCTCGGCTGGCGTGGGCAGGTGTGACCCCCACCCCAGGGACAACCGGCTGATGTCCAGCGTGGAAAAATACCACGCTCAGACGTGGGACGCCTGGACAGACCGGAGGATGCCAGGGATCAGGGACGGAGGGATAGCCACGGGGATGGGAGAAGCCAGGGCTGGGACAGGTGATGCTGGACAGAGCCTGTGGGCCTGAGGTGACACAGTCCAAGGGAGGGGCCCATGGGTGGGGAAACAGAGGGCCTGGGCAGGGTCCCAGCTGTGGGCAGAGGTCCCATTACATCAGAAGGCGTGTGAGAATAATGTTAAAAGAATATTCATAATAGCTACCGGGGCTTCTCATCTGCCCGGCATTGTGTGAGCACTGTACTTACAGAATGGATTGACTCAATCCTTCCCACTCCCTATATATTATTATTGGTGAAACTGAGGCAGGATGAGGTGAAGCCACTTGCCCAAGGTCACAGGGGTAGTGTAGCGGGGGAGCTAGGACTTGAACCCTTGGCAGTTTGGCCCAGAGCCAGTGCCCTTAATCACTGTGCTGTTCTAGAGTATGAGAGGGGTGACAGCACAGCCAGGGCCCTGGGGTCCTGAGTCCTCCCTTGGAGTCAGCCCTATTCCCTGCCACAACCTGCAACAGGAGGAGGGAACCACCCCCAGGAGCCAGCAGTCCAGGGGGGTTACAAGTGTGTCTGTGTGTATCTGTGTCACTGGATGTCACACATCTATCTTGGTGTCAGCATGTCAGGATCATTGTGTCGCAGGCTTCTGTGTTACTCGTGCTGTGTCTCTCTGGTCAGCATTTTAGGGTGTGTCGTATGTGCCTGCCTGTCACTGTGTCCTCTCTGTCACTCTTTGTGCCTTGTCACTGCATCTCTGTGCCTAACCTCATGTTTGCCTATCATTGTACCCTGATGTCTATTCCTGTGTGTCTGTCACTGTGTCTGCTCCAGTGTGTCTCTGTCACTGGGTGCTGTGAGTCTGTTTATGTCTCTGTCACTCTGGGTTTGCCTATATCTGTCCCTGTTTGTCACCATGTCTGTTCCCCTATGTGTCACCATCTACCGAGGTGTCGCCGTGTGCGTTACTCACCACCCAGGCCACAGGTGGGCGTGTCGGGCCCACTGGTGCCAGGACGAGGGCCCAGCCCATCCCACCCTCGCCTGCCGTGGGCCAGGCTGGGCGCCTGTTTGCAATGCCTGCCACAGGTAAACACCAAGATCCGGAACCCAAGGGCCACCTCCCTCACCTCCGTTCCCTGCCCCTTGGCTTGGCCAGGACTGGGCTTGTACCAGAGTCCCACAGGTGCTGCCCCCAAACTGGAGATGTGCCCTCACCCACTCGTCACCCATGGGCACAAGCCTCCCCCAAGCCCCCAGCCTCGGCTGGCCCTGTCTGCCTCTCCATCTGCTTCTCTCTCTCTGGCTATCTCCTGGCCTCTCTCTCTCTCCCTCTGTTCCTTGCTGTCCTTACTTCCTCCCACCTGAGTCACTCTGCGGCTTCGCCTTTCTCTGGAATGACCCCCATCTGCCTTCTGTCACTGTCCCTCTATGTCCAACTTTCTCTGTTTCCCCGCAGTGAAGTTTAATTCCCACCCCCTTTTTAAAAAAGATTTTTATTTATTTATTCA